GAGCCTCAGGTCGTCCACATCCCCTTTCATTCACCGAGTACAGGCTACTTCCTTCTCTCTACACCCTCCAACAGCTGCCAGCTGGGTGAGAGACCGACCGAGCTCTGCTGGACATGTCTAATCAAAGGCTCATGTGGGGTCCCAGCCTTCTTCTTCCCAAGTACCTGGTAGCTCTGGTCCTGTAGCCACCTCTCACCAGTGGACCATTGGCAGAACTGATGTGTGCTACTTCTGCTCACCCTAGACATCTGCCTCTTTCCTCCCCAACCCCCCAAGAGCAGCACCACACCAGCACGCCAGCTTCAGCCATACCAATGAAGATGACACCCTAGTGGATGGGGAGAAACCGTAACCTCAGAGGACACACAGCTGCCCCCCCAGCTGGGACTAACCAGCTGGACCATTGCTGCACTTCCCTCATATTGGAGCCAGAGCATATTTGGTCCCCGTAAGACAACAGGATACATACGAGGCTATTTATAAAGGCCACATCTAGGAAGGCAAGCCACTTGCAGCTCCCACTGTCCTATCTGCAGAAAGTCACCCCATGTCCAGCAGATCTAAGTCCCAAAATAGACAGTGGTCATGTGTCCACTATTCCCAAGCTTTCCTATTTGTGAAAAGAATATCTGTGGCCACTTGGTGTCCTGGAAATTTCATGTGCTACCCCAGTCTGTATCCTAGAGCAAAGATGTCTACTCACTTGATTAAACCAGTACTACCAGAAGCTAAAGAGTACCTCCATTTCCTCTACTCCCATTCTCTGTTTGCCTGTTTAGATTTAAGAGATAGAAGGAAAGGGGATGCCTGGGAGGCTCAGTTGGTTAAGCATTGGCCTTCAGCTCAGGTCATGATCCCAGGATCCTGGGATCAAACCCCACATCGGAGAAGCTTACTTCTCCCCTCCCACTCCCCCTGCTTGTGTGCTCGCTCTGTCAAATAAATAAATACAATCTTTTTAAAAATTGTTAAAAAGAGATTGAAGGAAGGAGAGTTGGAGGAAGAGTGGGGGGTGTAGCGATCTACTTCAGAAATTCCCTGATCGTGGAAATGAGCTGAACTGTACCAGCTTCCAGGAAGAGACCCACGTCAGGCTCCACTACCGTGTGATGTCAGCCTGCTCTCGTAGGTACTGCCCATAACTGTCAGGGAGCGACTCTGAATCACTAAAATATGCCCAATATGTTATCTACAAAGAAAATATGGCTCGCTGTGACAGGCTAGGAGCAAAGGCGCCCAGGTCACCTGAATTACATGATGGGCATCTCAGTAAGAATCCAAGCAAGGGAACTTTTACAAATTTCACTCAATAACTGAGCACCGATTGTGTGCCAAACACTGTGCCAAAGGAGGAGGAGCTCTCCTCCTTTAGGGCAACTCACAGACTGGGGGGCAGTGGGGGGGGGGTGCTGGATAATGGGAGAGCTAAGTCCAATATGATTTCATGGAATCTACTAATCTACTGTGCAAAGACAGCACTGAGTATGGTTGACTCTGCACGGATGAGTCCCAGAGGGCCTCAGAGAAGATAGGACATGTGAGCCAGAGGCACAGAATTTACAGGAAGAAATCTGGGCAAGGGGCAGGAATGAGAGTGGAGGAACAATGAAGGCAAGGCTGCCAGGAAGGGTGTAGGTGCAAATCAAGGGTATTCTCTAGTGATCTGGATGTTTCCTATGTGAGGAAGCCTTACCTGGCCCAAGCAGGCTCTGATCCACATGCCGAGAGAGCAGAACATCTGAGAACGTGGGCTCCAGAAGGAAGCCTCCCTCCGCCTCTCAGACACAGAGCACGATGGGCTCTGACACTGGTCTCCGAGGTCAAGTCCTGGCTCAACTGCTTCTGGCTTTGGGACCCTGGGCAGCTTATCTAACCACCCTGTGCTTCGGTTTTCTCATCTGTAAAATGGAAAGAATAACAGAGCCCACTTCATAGGGTGGTGGTGAAGACTGGACAAGGCACTCACATAAAGGGCATATGGTGAGTATCACAGTACCCTCGCCCAGGTCTCAGTTCCTTTGTCTGTAAATAATGGGTTTGGAGGATTTAAGAGACAGTAAAGCCCTCGTGATCACTGAATGATCTTGGCTTCTGATTGACAAAGAGCCAAGGCTAACATTATCTGGCCAGGGGAAGAGCTCCCAGCCATGGATGAAGCTCAGTGACACTTCCAGGCTCTGGCTGAAAGCTCCGGTCTAGTCGGACCTCTGGAGGCCATGGAAATGTTTAGGTGACTCGTGAGAGGCCAGCTCCTCCACCTACAGCAGCATGCGGAGGCCCGGGGAGGGGTGTGGGCTGGGTGGATGCCTATGGCAGGGGCAGCTGAGCGCAGCTCCAGCCAGGGCTTGCCTGGGGCGAATGGGGGGGACGGCTCTTCCCTTCTTCCCAAAGAAGCCAGAAAAACATATTTTTAACTGGATGATCCCAATTTGGAAACATCAGCAGCTAATTCAAAAGTACTGGAAATATTGAGTGGACGACACCCATCCTGCCTCAGGGCCAGTGGGCTTGTGGTTCCCAATGGAGAGTACTCTGTATGCTAGCATTCATCGAACATGTGTCCACAGTCTCTCCTGAAAATTTCTCAAGGACCTTGAGGATGAAAGAAGGACAAGAGAGTGTTGCTACATAGAGTCAGGACCAAGAAACTCTTGAACGCCCCAGAGAACTGGCCTGCCTTTGGGCATTTCTACAAATTAAAGGAACAATTTTTGTTACTGTAAGTCACTCCTTTAAAAAAAAAAAAGGATTTTATATATTTATTCATGAAAGCCACAGGGAGACAGGCAGAGACATAGGCAGAGGGAGAAGCAGGCTTCCTGCAGGGAGCCCAATGTGGGACTCGATCCCAGGACCCTGGGATCATGCCCTGAGCCAAAGGCAGATGCTAAACCACTGAGCCACCCAGGTGTCCCTGTAAGCCGCTTCTTCTGGTCCCCCCATCACACACTTTGCTTATAGCTAATGTTTATATCATGTACACTATGTGCCAGGCACTGTTGTAAGCCTTGTATATATACAATCTCATGTAATCCTCACAATCCAAGGAGAGCAGGATAGATGGAAAAACTGAGGTGTAGAGCCAGTAGGAACTGGCAGGAGGGCACAGAGCCAGTGTGCGATGGCAGTGGGAGTTGCATCCAGGCACACGGCTCAGCACCGGTGCTCAGAACCAGCCCTCCACTTGGCCTCTCATCTGGCTGACACACATCTCAAGACCAGGACCTCCTGGGGTGCAGGCCACTTCCTCTGGCACAAGTGACCCTTCCCTCTCCTGTACACGTGGGATGTGTGTGTGCCTACAGAAGTGAGCCAGGGCTGAGTCTCCCAGGAGCCAGCCAACACGTCCCAAGAGCCACGTGGCTGGGGGACCCCTGCTAAGCACGCACGACCTGGGGCCAGACCCAGGGATCGAGTCTCCTGTTGGCCCTGCCCCCTTGCAGCCACCAGACGGAGCTGGCAGGGCCACCTGCAGATGATCTGCCACCACCAGACCGTACTAGAGCCGAGACGAGGCCCTGAGCTCTTGCTGCAGAGCAGGCCCCAGAGCCACGTTGGCAGCGCCCAGCAAAGCACCCTGGCCACGCTCTGCCAGGCCCCGGGAGGCTGGAAACTGCCAGCTGAGGCTCTGCCCTTGCGGAACATCGTCCCTGGCCCCGAATCACACACAGAGCCCCCCGAGCCAAAGGCGCATGAGGTGACTGAGCAGGCCGGCCCCAGCATGCCCCGCAGCTCAGATGCAGACGCGGCCCGGTGCTCAGGGCCCCTCCGACGGTCTCCCAGGCCAGTGCCTGCTGACCGCCACAACGCCCTGCCAACTGTGACAGCATCTTCCCCGGACACGTGGGTGTTGAAGAGCTTAATTAGATGAACCTGGCCTGGAGATTAATTAGATGACCTCAAGGCTCCCCGGAAACTGGCTGACTCTGTCACCCCCGACATAAAGCCCTCAAGTGCGCCTCAGGCTGGGTCTTTGTTCCACGTCGCGCAGGACAACCAAATCGGACAGCTGGCAGCACACAAGGGCCCAGCTCACAGCCATGCTGGTGCGTCAGGCCGCCCAGGGGCCCAGCCGCTGTGCCAGCACTGTCAGGCACAAGGCACGGTTTGGACAGTAGGTGGCAGGAGGGAGGAGGAGCTGCTGCAAATGGTCCTTTTCTTACTGTGGCCTTCTGAGTTCAAAGTGTCCCCTCCTCTTCCAGGAAGCCTTCCTGGCCCCACAGGCCTGTGTGACCACTCAGTTCTCTACGGAGCTATCAGCCAAGCCTGGCTTTTATCATGCACTGCCTTGTTTGGGGCTGATATGTTAAAATATTACTTAATAAGCATGTAGTATGTGTCAGGTACCAAGGCCAGTGCTTTGCTACGTTATTTGAACCTTAGAGTAAATCTATGAAGTGAATGTAATTATACCCATTTCTCAAATGAGGAAGTGGCAGCTTGGAAAGGCCAAACGATGCATGTGTCCTGTGTCTATCATTTTCCTCTCCATTGCACTGCCTTCTCTCACATGGGATAGCAAGTTCCTGCACGGCAACCCAGCCGATGTTCACCCTTCCTTCCAGCCCAAAGCCCCCAGGCACACAGCAAACACGGGATGGCCAGCTGTCACAGTGACTGCCATGGGCAGGAACCAGTCAGCCTTAATCAGTCCAGAGGCGGTATTAATGAATAAAACTGGTCAGACACGTGGCCAAGTGGCCCTATGACAAGAATCTCAATGTGTGCTGTGCAGTATCTTAATCACAAAAAAAAATAAATAAAATAAATAAATTCCTTGCCTTCATTGCATATTAATTATCAGGATCCTCTACTGATACATTTACCCCTCATCTGCTTCAGGGATAACTGAAGAATTGAGGGTCCGAGGAAGAAGCGTGTGGCAGGGCCAACCCCTCGGGCTTGCTGGGAGGTGCTGACCCAGGGCCTGGGGTTGGCCCATGGGCTTCACCCAGAGTGGCCCCAGGGTCAGCCTCCCGGGAGGGAAGGCACGGGCTCACCTTTGGTGGCGTAGGCTTCCGCAATCATGCGCAGCCTGTAAGGAGGGACGGCTGTCAGCGGCAGGTCATCGAGGCCCACCCGGGCATAGATGTTGAGAGCCTCCTTATAATCTCCTTCCACATAATTCAACTTGGCCATGATCAGATTGGATTCTTGTAGGAACTCTGACTAGAAGGAAAAGGAGAGAGAAAAACATTTTCCTACGGTGCTGTGAGTAATGCTCCCTCGGGGACCCGCCACCTGCTGCCACAAAGCCCTGCGGATCTCCACAAAAAAATGCACACAAAAACGTTCAGAGCAGTACTTTTCGGGATGGCCCTTGGAGTGGCAACAACCCAAATGCCCATCCACTGGTGAATGGACAAGGAAAATGTGGCCTGGCCTTACAGTAGACTATTACTCAGCCACCAAAAGGAAGTACTGCCCCATGCTTAGAACAGGGATGAACCTCAGAAACTTATGGCAAGTGAAAGAGCCAGTCACAAAAGGCTACATATTGTATGCTTCCACTTACGTGAAATGGCCTGAGTGGTCAAAGCTATGGAGGCAGAAAGCGTGTTTGCCAGGGGCTGGGGGGCAGGGGGGGAAGACAGGTGACTGCTTATGGGTACAGGTTTATTTTTGGGGTGATGAAAATGTTCTAAAATAGGGACGATGATTGCACGAGTCTGTGAATATACCAAAAACCACCGAATTCTAGCGTTTTAAATGGGGGAATTATATGGCATATGAACTATCCTTCAATAAAACTGCCGTAAAACAAACAAGACTATAACCCAAATAACCCAAAGAGAGAGGCTTTTGAAGTTGGTGCAAGAACCAGGACTTGCTTTCTGTCCAGTGGTGAACTCTTCCCACTGAGCCACTCCAGCTCGTTAGGGTAACTGAGCCCCAGTCCGCCCCACAGAGGCTGCAAGCTCGAGCAGTCCTCTGACGAGTCCTCAAGTCCTGGTTCCTCTTGTCAGGAGAGGCTGGCCTCCCCAGTCCACACCCACCAGCCTTATCCCCTGCCCTGCTCCCTGGCCAGCACTCATCAGCAGGAAGAGAGGAGACAGCCTAGCCTTCTATATAAGGAAACAGATTTATCACCCTCTCACAGGCCGGCTCCTTGGAACCCAAGCTATGCAAGGCTAGATTTTCCCGCTTACAGAAGCATGCCAGGAAGCTGCACTGTTTTGTAACCTGTGACCGCGATGGGGTGGGCAAGGCGCAGGTAACCAGCAAGAGCAGCTGCCTGCCAGGATCCTCAGCTTCCAGGCATTTCTTTCTTCTTCTTTTTTTTCTTAATGAGTATAGTTGCCACATACTTTCCAGGTAATAGTGTAGGGATCGGACAACTCCGTCAGTTATGCTACGCTCACTACAAGTGCAGCTACCAGCTGTCACCACACAATGCTGTTAGGATACCACGGACTATATTCCCAGTGCTGTACCTTTTATTGCCATGACTCATCATTCACTCCATACCTGTATCTCCCGCTCCCCTTCATCTATTTTGTCATACCCCCAGCCCCCCTCCCCTCTGACAACCATCAGTTTGTTCTCCGTATTCAGGGGTCTCTGTCTGCTTTTTATTTGTCTGTTTACTCCTTTGTTTTTTAGATTCTTTGTTTTTCAGAGTCCACATATAAGTGAAATTATAAGGCATTTCTTGAAAAGGACAAGGGACAACAGGCAGCACTGGAGAGATGGTTAAATGGGTGAAGGGAATGATGGGAACAAAAGGGGTTTTCTTAATTAAATTAAATTTTATTATTATTATTTTTAAAGTAGGTTCCATGCCCAACCATGCGGCTTGAACTCATGACCCGGAGATTAAGAGTGGCAAGCTCCACTGACTAAGCCAGCCAGGCATCCTGAAAGGAACAAAAAATGGGAGGTGGTTTTGAGTGGCCGAGAGAAAGAGAAAGAGAGAGAGAGACCAATGCAAGAAATTAGAATTATATCTGCAAAAAGAGAAATCAATACAGACATAAGAAAAGAGAAAAAGAGCTATGAAAAAAAAAAAAACAACAACAACAAAACACCCAGCGCCAGGGGTTCTCCGCCCAGAGAAAAGGCTTCCTGAGAGAGGAGACTAGAGCTTCCGCTGGACGTTAGGCCATTAGGCCGTGGGGCACTGGGACCAAGAGCATGAAGCAAATGGGAGGGGGAGGGAGCCGAAGTGAGTGTGTAACAAGCACAGAGCTTCCAACGGGAATAGTGAACAGGTCCTGGGGATGGTGGCGGTGGGGGTCGCACAACTGTGCGGATGTACTTACCGCCACTTGATGAACTGTACACTTAAAAAATGGTTGTGATGGCAAAGTTTGTGTTGTATTTTACCAAAAGAAAAAGATTTTTAATTTAACTTGAATTTTTTTTTTTTTTAAGGAAAAATAAACTACAAGGCCAGATGGAAAAGATGCAGGAGTTAGAACAAAATTCCAAGTGTAAAGGCACAGGATGGAGGCCCTGGGAGGGCCCCGCCAAGCGAGCCTCGTGGGAGGCAGCACTCGGGGGAGAAGCCACGGACCACGGCCGCCGCTGCAGGCCGAGGGAGACAGCCCTGGCACCGTGCGTGTGCTGCCCTGCCCACGACAGACAGTCCTCCTGACTCGAACCAGAGCAGGTGTCTGGACTCCGGGGCCAAGCTGGCTCTGCCCTGCCGCTTCACTGCGCGGGTGGGAGTGGGCACCTTGGCCGCACTGGGCTCCAGCAAGCGCCCTACCCGGAGACACACTGACTTAAGGTCATGAAGAGAATCAGCATCACTTTAGCCAGTTACTGAGGCAACGCACCGGCGCAAGAGCGGTGCGACTTGGGAACATTCTTTATAGGGTGGAGGTAGCGAAAATACGGCCACAGGAGAAAAATCTCTCTAGGTAGAGCCCATAGCATAGCAGTCAGTGACATGCTGGTAGTGCCGCAGAGTTGTGAAGGAGCTTCCACATCAGAGCCTCAGGAAGACCCTGAGCTATGCTGGCGGAAGAGAAATGTGAAGCTCAGAGAGGGTAAGTAACTTCTCCAAATCACATAGCTTATAAAACTAGAAAGAACTGGAACCCAAATTCAGGAATTCTAACTTGAAAGTCCACATTCTTACTCCTACACTGGGTACAGAGCAAAAAACATTTGCACCTGGTAAACTGAAAAGTTAATTTTTCACAATGAAGTTAGAGGAGTCTGAAAGGGGGAAAGAAACTAGCCAGACGTCAGGCCTGGAGCAGGATGGCTCCTAGACCTTTCGCCCCAGCACACAACCACACCCACTCGCCTCCTGAAGGGATGCTTGAGCCTAATCACCGTGACTGGGAAGCGCAGCCCAGGTGTCCACTGTCCCTCCACCCCTTCTCACTGATGAAGACCAACAAATATCAGGAGCTGATTCTGAAGAGAAGTGTGGCATGGCCCTTTGAAAGAAACAGGGAAAGAGAGAACATGCATTTTTAAAGGCCCAAATGCAGCACCAAGTGCTTAGTAAATTGAGCTTCCTATATTCAAGTGATGCCCCAGGCACCTGGGGGCTCGGTCAGTTGAGTGTCTGACTCTTGATTCTGGCTCAGGTCATGGTTTCGGGGGTTGTGGGATCCAGACCCGCACTGGGTTCTCTGCTCAGCATGGAGTCTGCTTGTCCCTCTCCCTCTGCTCCCCCCCCACCCCCACTCATTCTAGCTCTAAAATAAATAAATCTTTAAAAAAATAAAAAAATAATGATGCTCTCAAGCCAGCCTGAGGAGCCTGGAGCTATGTTCAGCGGAGACAGACAAACACAAAGGCCATTTAGAAAGGAGGCTTTCTGCCAGCATTAGGAGAAGCCTGTGGCCACATAACTGACAAACACTAATACTTATTCAAATGTTGCCCAAGCCCCCAACAGCTCTAGGGCCAAGGAGGTGACTAGATGACTTCTAGACAACAATAGATGTCTTCCTAGAACATCTCAGAATGAAAGCTCACAGGCTTAGAATATATGGGAGCTGAGAGGGCCCAAGCTCAGCCCTCCAACAGCCCACCCTGTTCAAACCAACAGGAACTAAGCCCCAGAGAGGGAAGTGACTTCCTTGGGGTCACACAGCAATTTGGGAACCGGCACAAGCTTCCAAAACAGATACAAAAAGTAAAGCCAAGAAAAGCATGGCTTCTCTGAGGGGAGTGTACACAAGCTTGGGAGTAAAATCCAAAGAACTAGCCCCGGAGGATTCTGATGCGAAGTGAAGAAAGAAGAAAGAGAAATCATCGAGGTTAAAAGCAAAGAGACACAACTGAACAACAACAGCAAAACCCAACCCAAATAAAAAAGGGGCAAAGCACTTGAATAGATATTTCTCCAAAGAAGACATACAAATGGCCAAGGAACACATGAAAAGATGCTCAACATCCCTGATCATCAGGGAAATGCAAATCAAAACCACAATGAGATATCACCTCAAGACTATTCAGATAGCTACTATCCAAAAACAAAACAATACTGAAAAACAAACAAACAAAAAAGCACGGGCAAGAAAGTGGTGAAATTGTAACTTAGTATTGGTGAGGATGTAAAATGTGAGATGGTGCAGCTGCTTTGGAAAATAGTATGGAAGTTCCTTAAAGACTTCAACAGAATTACCATATGATTCAGCAATTCCGCTTTTGGGCATATGCCCAAAAGAATTGAAAGCAAGATCTGGAAGAGAAATTGTGAACCCACATTCATAGCAGCATTATTCGGGGCACTGGGGTGGCTCCGTCCATTAAGAGTCCAACTCTGGGTTTCGGTTCAGGTCATGATCTCAGGGTTGTGAGTTCAAGCCCCACATCAGACTCTGCACTGGGCATGGAGCCTGCTGAAGATTCTCTCTCCCTCTCCCTCTGCCCTTCCTCTGTCTCTCCCTTTCTCTCTCTCTCTCTCTAGGAAAAAAAAAAAAAAAAAAAGCCTGTATTAAAGCAACATCATTCAAAGTACCAAAAGGCAGAAGCAACCCCAGTGCCAATTGACAGATGGATAAACAAAACACAGTATAAACATACAGTGGACTATTATTCAGCCTTAAAAAGGAAGGGAATTGGGGCCCCTGGTGGCTCAGTGGTTGAGCATCTGCCTTGGGCACAGGGCGTGACCTGGGTCCTGGGATCGAGTCCCCGTCGGGCTCCTCGGGCTCCCTGCGTGGAGCCTGCTTCTCCCTCTGCCTGTGTCCCTGCCTCTCTCTCTGTCTCATAAAAGAATAAAACCTTAAAAAAAAAAAAAAAAGGAAGGAAGGGATTTCTGGCACATGCTACAACATGGGTGACCCTTGAGGACATTGTTATGTTAATGAAATAAGCCAGGGGTAAAACAACGACAGATACTCTACAATTCCCTAATCTGAGGGACCTGGGGCAGTCGGAATCAGACACAGAGAGTAGATGAGGGGTTGCCAGGGCCGGGGAGGGGGGAGAACGCAGGGTCGGGGGTTCTCGCACGCGGAGTTTGTCTGGGATGATAAGAAGGTTCTGCAGACGGGATAGTGCTCGGGGCTGCACCACAGCAGGGCCACAGCTGAGGACGCTGACGGGCGGGGCTGGGCGCAGGCTGGGCGCAGGCGGCCACCTGGAGGAGCCTGCACAGATCATTCTAGAAGAGCAGGAAGAGCCAGCCTTCAGGGCAGGGCAGAGTTGGAGCCCAGCGAGCTGGGGGGGGGGGGGCAGGGAGCGAAATGGGGAAGGAGGGAGATGCAAGGGGAGCAGGGGGGACAGGGCGCGAGCGGGCGCGCTGGGTGCAGGGAGAGAAGGCGGGGCAGGGGGTCAGGGAGGGGCAGGGGGCGGCGCCTGCGGCCGGGCCCTGGGGCTGAGGCCTCGGCCAGGCAGGGGCACGCGGTTCCGGCGGCCGCACCACGGGGCGGGCGGCGCAGGCAGGGGCAGCCCGGGCGCGGCCGCTCACGGCGGGCAGGGGCTGGGCGCTGAGGGACGCCCTCCTCCCGCGCCGGGCCGCCCGCCGAGCCGGCGCCCTCCGACCGCCTTCCCGCCAGCAGCCGCGGAGGCCTCCCCGGGAGGAGCGTCACTGGAGGCCCGGCCGGCGCCCTTCCCCCTCAGGCGGCCGCTTCCTCACGGCGGCCCACGTGCCGCCCTCCGCGGCCACCCTCCGCGGCCGCCCCCCACCCCCCTCCCCGGCCCGGAGACCCACAGTACCTTGAGGTTCCCGCGGTCCAGGGCGGCGGTCAGGTGCTTGCGGACCTCGGTCAGCTGGGGCCGGGGGCCTCGGGGGCTGGCGCCCGGCCGCAGGGGCTGCTCCTTCAGCGACTGCTCCAGCTTCGACTCCCCGAGCAGGAGCTCCGCCATGTCATCTACAAAGAACACAGTGAGAAGCTGAGCGGGAGCCGAGCCGCCGCGACCCGCCGCGACCCGCCGCGACCCGCCGCGACCCGCCGCCTTGCTCGCGCCCCCCCAAGGCCCTTCTGGAACGCGGCCTCGGCCTCGGCCTCGGACGCAGGCCCAGCGGGCCCCACCTGACAGCCACGGCTGCTCACATATAAGAAGGTTCCGGAGTTTGTACCCGCACGGCTGGGAGCTCGTTCCTTTACCACAGATTCACTGAACCTAGAAAGCCCAGATATGTATCAACGTGGAGCGCGCTCAAGTTCGGCGGGAGACAGCTGTCTCCCGAGAGTTCTCCGCACGATCTGCCTAAGACACCATGTATTTTCCAAGAGGGCCGGTGAGATCTCCTAGCTCTTTCGCGTTCTGTGCTCTTAACACCTGGATTCACACGGCGGATGCCTCCTGCAATCAGGCTCCGAGACGCACAGAGGGAGGCCGAGACGAGACGCAGGCAGAGGGAGAAGCAGGCTCCCTGCGCCGAGCCCCCTACGCGACTCGATCCCAGGACCCCGGGATCACGACCTGAGCCAAAGGCAAATGCTCAACCCCTGAGGGCAGGCAGAGGGAGAAGCAGGCTCCACGCCCCTACAATCAGATTTTTAAAAAGAGTAGGTGTCGGGCAGCCCGGGTGGCTCAGCAGCTTAGCGCTGTCTTCAGCCCGGGGCCTGACCCTGGAGTCCTGGGATCGAGTCCCACATCGTGCTCCCTGTGTGGAGCCTGTTTCTCCCTCTGCCTGTGTCTCTGCCTCTCTGTGTGTCTCTCATGAATAAATAAATAAAATCTTAAAAAAAAAAAAGGAGTATATGTCAAAATGACCTGTCTCTGCCTAAAAGTCGAAGCTATACACACACTGACAACTAGGATCGTCTCAAGGAGGGTTTCACTCCTAAGAGCACACTGCTGACACTTACAATTTTGTTACTGTCTGTGTTGGCTTGTTAATTACAATGAAGAGCTCCCTCCCCAAGCAGCTCTTTAGAATCCACACATGTAGATGTTCGGAATAAACCCAGAACAATTCATAAGCCAGCCTGAGCATGACCTATTTCTTCTGTGATGAGACAGGACATGATTGTATTAAAATATAAGAACAGCGGGGATCCCTGGATGGCTCAGCGGTTTAGCGCCTGCCTTCGTCCTGGGGCATGATCCTGGAGTCCTCGGATCGAGTCCTATATGGGGCTCCCTGCACGGAGCCTGCTTCTCCCTCTGCCTGTATCTCTGCCTCTTGTTCTCTGTGTCTCTCATGAATAAATAAATTGAATCTTTAAAATATATATATATATATATATATGAACAGCGTAAGAGGTCTGGAAGGATACACCTCAAATGCATGCCGAGCCAGGGAGACCTCAACTGGAGTTAGGGGCCAACATACTTTAGTTTTATCTTTTTAACTTTCCAGCCCCCACAACAGAGACCAGATCTGCCTATTATTTAGGTAATCTAAAATTAACTCCAGGAAATGTCACAGAGGACCCACTGAGCTTCTGAGTGGTAGGCCCAGAGCAAGCTGTGAGCTGCAAGGAGAGCCTTCCCAGTCCTCTGGTCAGTGACCCAAATCTACCAAATCTAAAGTTCTTGCAAAGCCTCCTTGTGTGTACTGGGGAGCCCAAAATAGTCCCTCAGGGATGAGACCTCAGTCCTGCAGTGGGCCGAGCAACACCAGAACAGGACTGAGTTAAGTCACTGAACCCAAGAACTCTCCAGGGCGCTGTCTACAAGATGAGGGGAGCACCAGACAGGACCCAAGGCAGCATCCTACACCAGGAGAAAATGAGGCACCGTCTGCACAGGGCACAGGGACACACAGCGTAACCCAAGTGCACCAGAGCTGCCCACACTGGTCACGTGGGGAAAGCGGCAAGCAGCATCCTCCCAGAAGTGTGAGCCCTTAGTGAGAATGAAATGCCACTAATAAAGAAATGCAGGACTCGGGGACGAAGGCTGTGTGGGAAAAGGCCTGATAGTGAGGACCAGAGCACTTGCACACAGAATACTAAATGCCTCAGACAAAAACTACGAGAAACCAACACCAGGCAAAAATAACACCGTATAAAAATTGGGAGGCATTCCAGGTGACCAGCTTTCAGAACACGGGAGTATATGCTTAAAGAAAAAAAAAAAAACATGACTCCAATCTTTTTAAGACTTTATTCCTCTGTTTTGGGAAACGATGCCACATGGGGAAGCATTTATCAAGAGCTCAACAATTCCCTTAGATTCACTTTCATTTCCTTCTTCCCATCAGTACTTATTAATACTTTATTTTTATTTTTTAAAGATTTTATTTATTTATTCATGACAGAGAGAGAGAGAGAGAGAGAGAGAGAGAGAGGCAAAGGGAGAAGCAGGCTCTGTGCAGGGAGCCCAACATGGGACTCGATCCCAGGTCTCCAGGATCACACTCTGGGCCGAAGGCTGCGCTAAAACCGCTGGGCCACCAGGGCTGCCCAATACTTTATTTTTAAAATAGCTGCTGCCCAATAGATATAGACGCAAGTCACATGTTATTTTAGAAGTTACAGGAGCTATGTTAAAAAACTCATGAAATTAATTTTGATAATCTTTCATTTAACTCAATATATCCAAAATATTGTTAAACAAGTAATCCATATCTTTAAATTATCAAAATGTTTTACATTCTCTTTTGTATTAAGTTTTCCAAACCTAGGGGCACCTGGCTGGCTCAGTAGAGTGTGTGACTCTTGATCTCAGGGTTGGGAGTTCAAGCCCCATGTTGGGTGTAGATAGAGCTGACTTAAAAAAAAAAAAAAAGAAAGAAAGAAAGTTTCCCAAATCTAGCATGTACTTTGCACATATGACAGCTCAATTCGAACTCGCCACTTTGCAAGTGGTCAGCAGCTAGCCATGGCTAACGGCTGTGATATCGGCGGGAGCATGATCACTGCTTACAGAAGTATGCCTATTTATCTTTATTCTGTATCCCTGAAAATAGGTGTCTAGAATGAGTATCGCTTAAGAATAAGTAATAAAAACTTCTGAATGATAGTTTTTGGGATAATTTTTTCAGTCTCATATTTGCAGTTTCGATTATTTTTATTAAGCAGAATCATTTTACATTATTTTTAGCAAAAACTGTAGCTCTTTAAAAATTGGAAGTATAAATAAATAAATAAATAAATAAATAAATAAATAAATAAATAAATAAATATTGGAAGTATATATGTTGGGACATTGATGGTGGTTATTTCTGAGTGGGGAAACTGTTAGCGTATATTGACTTTCTTTCCTGTATATTTTAAATTTCCAAAAAATAAAATAACATGAGATTAAGAGTTGTAGATTTAAATCCCAGTTTGTCGCACTGTGTCTGCGGCCCCAAGATTTAACCTCGGTGTTTTAGGGGGCAATTCTAAGAAAACCCCTCTGTACATCCGAGCTGAGGATGCCTCTCTCCGCGTTGTTCCCCGTTATTCCCCCCACTCCAATGACCTCCCTGCTGCGGCTCCTCTGACCTTGCCGCTGAAAATGGCCAGCCAGCAGAAAGGACAGCATCTGGGGCCCTCTGTGTGTGCTGCCTCTCTCTAGCTGTGGGCCCAGGGGGGGACTGCTTACCCTCTTGAAGCCCCAGCCTCCATTTATGATATGGGAACAATACCACGACCACAGCAAGGCTATGGATGAGAGCTGGTGTGTTCTCAGCAAGGGGAATGCCTGGCCTGCCACACCTGTCAATTAGACCTCACAGGATGAGTACAGGGAAGGGCAGACCAGGCTGAGGGAACAGCAGGGTGTAAGAAAAGCATAAAGGTGAAAGCCCACTGGACCAAGTGGCCAGAGAAGGGGGTGTGGGTGAGTGAGGGGACAAGTGGGGAGCAGAACATGGGACTAACGTTTCTCTTCTCCCCGCTCAGGCCCATCCCCATGGAAAACAGATCCTGGCACTTTCCACATGCAGTTCTCCATGCGCAGGCCCAGCGAACCTCCTCCATGCTCCTGGGGTAAGTCCGAATGCTGAGAACACCATTCATCTTGATAAAGACATATTAATTTTTCAAGTACTGCTCATCTCGCCCCACACATGCCCTATCCCAGGCCACACCCAGCTGCCCCCAGGAACCTCGAGCACCTCAACCTAGGGCTTATATACAGCCCCTTCCACACTGTACTGAGAGGCCCGGAGGCAGAATCTGTGTCACTTACTTTCTAGTCTCAGAGCCAATGTATGTCTGAGACAGAGTCAGGGCTCAATAAACGGTGACTTAATTCAAAGAAAAGCCAAGGCACTTGGACTGCACCCTCCAGTGTGAGACCTGGTCCTGCCTGCGGCACGATCTGCCAGTTGTCCCCAAGTACTCATTCTCCTCTTCTTCCTCTAGTATTAGAGTCCCTGAGTTTTATCCATGTACAGAGCTGCCAAGGCAAAGGCTACTTCCTTGGCTCCCTGGGGGCTGGATGCTGCCACAATACTGTTATGGCCGGTGCGATGTGAGCCGAAGTCCTATATGCAGTTTCTCTGCTGGGCCTTGGCAGGGAATGAGCTTACCCTCCAGGTCCTCTTCACCCTACCTCATCAGATGGAATGGGTCTGTGCTGATGGGAAATGCGGCATCCATTCCAGTCCTCAGGATGGAAGCCATCCTGAGCAACACAGGGCAGCACAACATTAGGAGCCGTGGTCTCTAATGCCCAGGAGCTGCCACTGCACCCTGAACTGCTTGTGATCAGAAAGAAACAGTAACCTCTACCTTGCTCCTGCTCCAGTCACTGCTACCCTGGCTTGGTTATAGTGGCCAAACTGTTAACCCAGCTAGGTCTCCCTACCACCAAACAACGGCTATCGGAGAACCCCTTACCAATCAATACTCATTCCCAGCGTCACTTATGTCTAGAAGGAAAACCACAGAACCCAGCTGATGGCTTTGGTACAACACTTTGACATCACCTTTTCTGTTTCACTGGTTTTATATCCTAAACTTGAAAAAATATTTAAACAAAGGAC